ACAGACAATCTGTAGGCAGTTCTTTAAGAACAATAATTGTACTGAAATGTTACTTGAGAAAGACTTAGCAAATGATTTACACTCAGTTAAAATATAAAGAAATACAAATATGTTTAGAAAGGAGCTCTGGTGTTTCACTGTAATATATTCAATTCACTCCTCTTCCTCCTCCTCCTCCTCCTCCTCCTCCTAACTTGAGTTTTGCCAACTATTGTACATGGACTAGTTCCTGGACTTTTCTTGGTAAGATTTCACTAGTAGTGAAATATGCTAGCATTTGAAAAAATATATTTGTGATCAAAAGGTTCCATATGAGTATTCTTTAAAAAAAAAAAAATCATGATTTTTTTCAGCCTCTAAAAAAGAAAGGAAAGGTTTATTTGTACATTTTATTCCTAACAGAGATCCCTAAGAATTATCCTGAGATGAAATTGTCTTCTGTTTGGATACTGAGAGTTTACTTTCATTGTCATTTGAGAATAGAAATCCCAACCATACATTTTATGACAACAGAGCTTACCGAGTTGGAAATCAGATGTCACTGAAATATACACTTTTTGTGCATGGCTCATTAAAGTTAGTTTCACTCCTAGCAGAACAAGCCCATGCAGAGTTTTGGCAGCAGTATTTAGAAAGGCTATGCCATAGCCTTCTTCTTCCTAGGGCTGAGAAGGAAAGGCTGGTCCAAGGTCACCCGGTTGGCTCCCATGCCTAAAGCAAGACTTTGGTTTCCTTGAAGCCCAGCACTGAACAGGTACAGTATGTTCTTTTTCTGACATTAGTCACAGTGTCTTTGCTGATAACATGAAAACTTAAGTTAGGGCAAATCTGAAACACTACAGGGCTCTTAATTGAAATGTGTGAGCAGTCCCCAAGTAGCCTTGATAGTAAATTGGAACAGGCGAGAGGAAACACTGTTGATATATCCTATGAGGAAATCCACCCATTTGCAGGGGAGGCATTACGCCGTTTCAGTACATGTAGCTCCATACTGTATGAGTCACTCAGTCCGTACACCCTGTGATGTACTTCTGGAACTGACGCAGTGGGGCAAGGTTGGACTTTCCACAGCCTCAGGCCTTGCAGTTTCAGAACAGCCAAGCATTGTTACCCTTTTTTCAAGACTAATGCTGTATTTTTGCTTGCCTCTCATTATGAAACCCAGGCCTCACCTCATTGGTCACATGAACCAGCCATGTCCTTTTACAAACATTTTAAAGTCCTTACGCTACAGAGAAAATGAATAAGCGTCTCTGTGTTTACTGATACTGAGGTACCTTTGTGACAAAATATTCCTAGTTCACATTCTTTGAGGAATAGGTTAGATTCTGCAAGAAAAATAGGATGAGGGTATTCACATCTGGAAGGATCTTAGCAGCACCATTCAAACTGCAATCTGAGTTTCCTCCTGACATAGGTTGTTGTGTGTGTCTATGGTTAGGAAGAATTTGTATAAAAGCCAAATTAAAGAATCTTACCTGAAGCCATTTTCCCCATATTGTTGCAGAATGTAAGTGGTGTTATTGATTTTTTTTTCTGAGAATGTTCTCACTTATATCTTGAAAAACTGAAAAAATATTACCTAGGCTACAAACACAACACATCTTTCTAAATGTACTCTCACAGAAAGTATTGAAAGATGAAAAAGTAACTTTGCAAGCAATCCTCCTCACATTTACAATCTTTGCAGGTCTGTAAAGCAAAGGATAACTGAAAGAAAGATAATAAGCATAGTCATGGTTTCACTTAGCAGCTGCTTTGCTTAAGACAATTACAGGCAGTCCTTGTTTAACAACCACTACTGGGACCAGCAATTGTCTTCTTGTTAAAAATTAACAATGTCTGAATAAAAGGCACGTCACTGTCTATATTAGTAATCAAAAATATATGGTGGACAGTAATATAGTTCATGTATATATGAATTATATATATGATAGTTTTATGATTATATATAATTATATATATATACATTTAATATTTTATTTAAAAACATTTTTAAAATTTTTCTCTCCTTCCTTCCTTCCTTCTTTCCTCCCTCCCTCCTTCCTTCCCTCCCTCCCTCCCTCCCCCTCCCTTCTTTTCTTTGCTGTCATGAAATCTTGGTGTTATACAATACCTGTTTGTGTGATTAACATAACTAAACTTTCAATTGAATTTTCTGCTTACAATTATCTCAAAAATAAACATTTATATCTGGCTCCTTTGTCTCTCAGGATATAAAATTGAATTTTGATGTTGTTGACATTTGTTTTCCTATTATAATCTTATAATAATAATTATTATATTTATGTTCCACCTTTATATTTTTACAACTCCAGATTATATATATAAAATGCCTCTACTTTCTATTTTCACCACAATAATAAGGTGAAAGGTGTGAGGTGGCTTCGGGTGAGAGAGTGAGGGACTAAGGCAATGGTGGCGAACCTATGGCATGGATGCCAGAGGCGGCAGAGCCGTCGCCCCAGTCCTAGGCACGCGCACCGTCGCCCCAGTCCTAGGCCTTCAGCTGGGTTTTATAAAATCTTTTCGCTTTAGGCCTGTGCAAAAAAAAAAAATGTTCAATCAGTCAATTTCAACTTCTCGCGGGAAAAAAAAGATCTTGCAAAGTTGGAATTGATTGATTGAATTTTTTAGTCCCACCCAGTCTGCCATTATCACCGCAGCCACGCCCACCCAATTGGCCACAACCAGCTAATGGGCCACACCCACCCAGCACTCGACGATGCATAAGTGGGTTTTGGGTTGCAGTTTGGGCACTCAGTTTCTTAAAGGTTTGCCATCACTGGTCTAAGGGAAGGCTAACACCCATAATTCCCCAATTTCTAGTCTAACATTTTAACCACATTTATACCAAGCATGTGCATATAGCATGCTATTTTTTGTTTGGGTTCAGAAGCTATACAAGGTTGGACCTTCTTAGTACAAGTACTAAGGACACCAGTGGAGAATACCAGAGCTGGAATCTAGAAAGTAGAATTAGAATTATTGCCAGAAAAGTAAATGGTAGGCCACTTGTATAATATTGCCAAAAAAGCTTCATACTTGTATCCATGTAGAACCCATCTTGACAACATCTAATCAAAATAGAGAGGTACGTTATATTTACTTTATATGTACAAAATGAATCAGCTCATTTGAAGGGAGTGTCTCAGTTCAATACCATTTTTTTTTAGTGCCAGCTAATATTGAAGTCTTCTACATTATTGATCTTACTTACTTAGGGAATAAAGACCTTCTCATATATTATTTTAGTATTCCCTTTATATCCTGGAGTTTTTTGCATTATCTTAACATGATTTCTCGGAATTACCTTCATAATTGTTTTTTAATACAATGAAATGTTGATGTCGTACCTCTGAAAAATAAATAATCAAGATTAATTCCAATCTGACTAATCTTTTGGGCTGTCTATTTAAATCACGTGTCTCAAAAACTTCATTTATAAATTCTTGAAGCAATCCTTCTTTGTTTTTAAAAATGTATATTTGCAACCAAAATTTAACAGTGCATAATTCAGTAGAGGAATTAATGGCTACAGCCAAAGTCTTATGACATGTGTTCCCCTGTAACTTTTGGAGTTTGTTACCGATATATTTTTCAGCTTACAGAATAGCTTTTTTCAAAAGCCAAATTAAATGTGTTTTCATCAAATATTCAATATGGTAGATTTTTTAAAAAAATCCACATCTCTCAAAGTTTTTTTGCCTGTATTGGTATTGTTCTTGAACGGTGAATCATATATTATTCTATTGTAAATTTTATAAGGTGGTTATCCGGCATATTTTTAAATCAAAACCAGAAATAAACCAGAGATACTTCTGAGTATGTTACAATTTTATTTGCAGATGAAAATCCTAAAATTACAGAGGCAGCAGACATATATTTAACTATGGGCAGTGCTTTTTTTCTAAAAAAAAAAAAAAAAGGTGCTGGAACTCACACACTTCATACAACCCGCCTTGCCTACCCTACAAGGTTCCATCCAAAAAAGGTGTCGGAACTCCGTTCTGGGCGTTCTATGAGAAAAAAAAGCCCTGACTATGGGTATAAAAACAAAGTCTTTAGTAACCCATTAACAAATTTTATTAAAGGGTTTGAAGTGTTTTATGTAATAATTAAGAAATATTTTATTAGTTAAACTGTTTTATCTGATGCAAAACTTTATATTTGTAACTTGCTATTAGGGCTTTTTGTCTATAATAAATTGAAAGTGAAACTGAATATGGATTCTCTCCCTACTCCTTCTTCCCACGTGTATTTTATTCTCACAATACCCATGATCTGAGTCAGGCTGCCAGATTTTGACTAATGATCCAGTAAGATGAGGATCGAATGGCTCAAACTGAACAAATGTAAAAATATGATTGCAAAATGCAAGTGGCTCCCAGTTAAACTAACAAAATAGACTTCAAGAGAGCCTGTGTGTGTATGGCATTATTTTATATTAATTAACAGTAACACTTTAAAACTAAAATTCACTTGGTTGAATCAGAAACAAAAAATATTTGGGGGTCTCTTTGTTTTAAAAACAGACTTACAGTTTGTGAAACTTTATCAATTATGTGGAAGTAGAAAATATTTTAAATCAATACATCAATAAAACTGTGTTAACTTTACTAAAGAGCGAACTAGCATAGTTTTCTGTTATTTAGCAGTACTACATACAGAACTGATGATTGTGGCAAGAGAAGACGAGAGGCAGGGATAAAAAATATTGCTGTCAGAGAATGATAGAAAATCATTAAACATGGAAACTATAAGAAATTCAGTGCCTACAAATGAATTAAAACAAAAACAAAAACTATGTTTCTAGTTTTAATTAGAACTCATGATCCCAATAATTTAACTACTTACAACTGCATGAACTCATTGATAACATTTGCAGAACAGAGAACAATTGGGGATTATGAAGCTTTTATATCCTACCCTAGAGCTTTACTGTCAAAATTTTGTTCTTATTGATGTATTTTCTCTCTTTTTTAAAATTTCTATTTTAGGGACATAAAGCCTGATAACATCTTGATGGATGAGCAGGGTAAGTGACAATTATATCTGGCTGCAAGAACATGTATATGCTTGCAATTGTACAGCAAAATATAATGTTTTCTGTAGGATCACAACAGATTTTATGAAGCCATCGTCTAGTGAGATGGAAAACAAGTTGAGGCAAACCTTTATCCTAGCTCTGGGGTTTTTGCTGACTAAAGATACAAAGGACAAATTTCTACGGATTTCATAGTGTATCATAGGTTTTATTTTTTTTTTAAGTTCAAGTAATCCAGCTATTGCTCTACTTACGAGAACTATACAATATTCTATTATTATTATTGTGGGGCACACTGGGTCATGTTTAAACCAAAGGCAATGTGATATTATGCAATAAGAGATAACAGGGATAGACAACATTATGTGTTTTGTCTTTTGTTACTCTGTTTTAGCCCCCATGGATGTATGTAGATTTAATAAGGTGATATCCAATATATATTTAATAAATTCAGTGGAACGTAGTTCCAGGTAAATGTGTATTGGATAACAAACTTATTTCTACATAGTATTGTGATTAAATATGGAAGTACTTTTCCTTTGGAAAAATATTTAGGTTCTTCTGAAAAAGTTTCACAAAAGTATTTTATTTTATATCTTAGCATAATTTTCTTGCCTATTCTACATGAAATGAAATGATGTGCAGGGATAGTCTACTTTGCGATAATTTGTGTTTATCTTAACAACTAGTCAAAGAGTAGGAATCAACAATCCCAGTGACATTTGCAGGCCCCAGTGTTTTAATCAGTGCTATTGTTGTGACAATGTTGCAACCAAGATATGGGTTTAAAGGGGACCATTGTATTTTTGCGAAGGCTTTCAGTTTAATGCGTTTTAGCTGGTTATTTTAGAATTTGTTTGGAATTGTCTTTTCTCTGATTGTCCTTGAAATTGAGGTCATTCTGACTATTTCCTCTTTGCAATTTATCTGTGTTTCACCAACCATGGCAAGAGAGGTGTGTAATTCCATTCATGTGTGCAAAAAGCCTTTTACCTATTGTTCAGTTTTTCCCCTCGAGACATTGTTTTTGCAGCCTATGTACCTATATTTAGACTGTTAAGGCTGCCTGTTTTCCAGTGACTTTCCTTCCTTGGAGGATCATATTTTAAGCTCCAGCACAATCTTCTGTAGTTTTTTTTAAATTTATGTGATGTTATTTATTAGATTTCTAGGGTATTTCACTACCAAAGTCTTATTAGCTATAAAATTCAAGCGTGTTGAAATTAAAATTATTATATTGCTATTTAACATGTTAAAAATAAACTTAAAGTTTCAATTACACTACACATTGATGAAAGCCGATTTAAAAAGCTGTTCTCTTAAAGCAGTGGTGGCGATCCTATGGCACGGGTGCCAGAGGCGGCACTCAGAGCGCTCTCTGTGGGCACGCACACCGTTGCCCCAGTCCTAGGCCTTCAGCTGGGTTTTATAAATCCTTTTCGCTTTAGGCCTCTGCCGCCGTGTGCAAAAAAAAAAAAAAAGGTTCAATCAATCAGTCAATTTCAACTTCACGCAGGAAAAAAAAAGATCTTGCAAAGTTGGAATTGATTGATTGAACTTTTTAGTCCCACCAAGTCTGCCGTTACCACCACAGCCACAGCCACCCAATGGGCCACACCCACCCAATGGGCCACACCCACCCGGCACCCAACGCTGCATAAGTGGGTTTTGGGTTGCAGTTTGGGCACTCGGTCTTTAAAAGGTTCGCCATCACTGTCTTAAAGCCTTCTTAAAGGCTTGTGCACAATAGAGCCTCAGTATTCCATTGAGAAGTCTCAACATGAAAAAAATTCAGGCCTGAAGTAGTAGACAGATAAACCAGTTGCTGTTAGAGGTAGATAATCCCAAACAATTTGAACAGAAAATGGGAATTCTGCAGCCAAGATATGATTGGGCTTAAGTCCATTAGGAGAGTAAAATCAAAATCAAAATGTTTTCTACTATAGAGGGTAGCCCTAGTTGGAGCACATTACAAAAATCAAGTATTTAATTAGTAGATGGATCACTGTTGTTACTTACTAGGAAAAGGTGCTTTTGGCAAAACAATTGAAATTGATTAAAAAGCAGTCTGGTCACAGACTCCACTTGAGATATTACGTAGAGATCCATATTGAAATTACTCCCATGCTACTGTATATAATCATTGTCTTTCCTAAAGGAAAGCCCTATAACGCTCCTTTCACTAGTTTTTATGTACGACCTAATGAATGAACTTTATGCTGAGCTAGTGGTTCAGATAGGAGCAGATCAATATTCTCAAACTGTTTCATGTGATTGTCAAAATTATGGCTTGGAATAATGATTAATCATGGCAGATTAGTATGTGTATTGTGGGTGACTTGGAAGTATAAGGATTTCCTATGTCCCTTTCCTTTTCCCTTTCTTAGATTTTCTCTAAGGGGTTTGCGTATGCAAAATGTTGCTAGATTGATTCCATAATGTTTTATGGGAAACTTTAAAGAAAGTTTATTCATTGTTTGGAATATAGCACATAATCCACATAAAATTCTTTTCTTCCCTCTGCTGTTATAATTATAGCAGTAGAATTAATTGCCACACTGGAATGGAACATTAAATAAAAGTGGAACTTTCTACTGGTAATTTATCTTTTTATCTCATTCATAGGGCATGTTCATGTAACAGATTTCAATATTGCTACAGTGCTAACTAAAGATACACAGATTACCAACATTGCTGGCACGAAACCATATATGGGTGAGTAGTCAATGGATCCAAGTTATTTGTATGACATTGATTTGTTTTTCATGGACATTTTAAGCTTCCTTCTTAGTAAATATTAAAACAGTTTTAAGAAGCAAAGTGGGCATGATTCAGAAAATAATTCAAAGCTGATCTGGCCTTACATGTGATAGATTTGGAATGGCTTCAGTTCTGCAAACCTTAAAAGGTCCTTGCATGGATGGCTGATCTGACCTCAGTTTACCTATATGAAATCCTACAAGTCTAATTCAAAACTATAGATAGAGTTCTTGGGTTTCTCCATGTGAGTCATAATTAGATCGACCATCCCACATTGATGTTAAGGCATACATGGTGCCAAAATATTACTTTTGACAGGTTATACCAAATTATACTAAATGGACTGTATATATGATTGCATATCTTACTGACATTAATTAGACTTATTGATGCTTCCTCTTGAACCACTGTTATTTCCTCTATCCTTGTTAATTACTGAATATTTTAACCAATTCACCAAATATTCTTAGAATCAAAAAAGTATTAATTGGAGCTAATTTCTGCTCAATGCACTTGCCAGCAATGTGTCTGGGGGAGAAGAGCAGTGATAATACCTAACCTTGCATTAAAACTATATATAGTCAGTGTCAGTTGCCTGCTCACTTCCATTTGCTCTTTATTTATTATATTTCACTTTAAGGTGTGTTGTAATATTTCAATGGGCTAGAGGATAGAGCTAGTATTTTACTCAAAGTAATAATCATTTAAAATATGATGATTTGAATTATGTTCGGGCTTCATCTTATTATGCTTGCACTTATTAAGCAGGTTCAAAATGTGCTCTTCTTCTTCTTCAACAACAACAACAACAACATAGTAAAGGCAGCCATTTTCATGCTTTTGTTTCTATATGAAATAGCCAGTAAGTTAGTCAAAATGTAACCCGGAGGTTGTGAGAAAGAGGTGTGAAAAGCTTTATGCAGGATCTGAGAGAATAAGAGCGAAGAGTTCGAGCACAAAATACATTGTGCAGTGACCTTTTGAACAGCTATGTTATTTGAAGAACTTGGGAAAGTCTCTTAGTTCTCATATTCTTTTTTAATTTTAGTAAGACAAAGTAAACTTCCTCTTTTAATTATTAGAAGATGCAATTTAGCCCTAGGTCTGACCGGATCTCCTCCAAAGGCCATTATTAGAATAGCATGATTCTGATTAAGGAGTTAGCAGTATGGTCCAGCAGTATGATGGTCCAGATTAAAATAAAGGACCAAAATGACAGGGACCTAACAGAGGCAGAAGAGATTAAGAAGAGGTGGCAAAACTACACAGAAGAACTATACAAGAACAAGCTTAACGTCCCTGATAACCATGATGGGGTGGTCACTGACCTCGAGCCAGACATCCTAGAATGTGAAGTGTAATGGGTCTTAGCAAATCTGAGCAACAACAAAGCTAGTGGAGGTGACAGTATTCCAGCTGAGCTATTCAAAATCTTAAAAGACGATGCAGTAAAAATGCTACACTCAATTTGCCAGCAAATTTGGAAAACTCAACAGTGGCCACAGGATTGGAAAAGGTCAGTTTATATTCCAGTTCCAAAGAAAGGCAATGCCAAAGCATGTTCAAACTATTGCACCATTGCACTCATTTCACATGCTAGTAAAGTTATGCTTAAAATCCTACAAGCTAGACTCCAGCAGTATGTGGATCGAGAACTACCAGAAGTACAGGCAGGATTTCGAAGAGGCAGATGAACTAGAGATCAAATTGCCAACATACGCTGGATCATGGAGAAAGCTAGGGAGTTTCAGAAAAACATCTACTTCTGCTTCATTGACTATGCTAAAGCCTTTGATTGTGTAAATCACAACAAATTGTGGCAAGTTCTTAAAGAGATGGGAGTACCAGACCATCTTATTTGTCTCTTGAGAAACCTATATGCAGGTCCAGAAGCAACAGTGAGAACTGGACACGGAACCACTGATTGGTTCAAAATTTGGAAAGGAGTCCAGCAAGGCTGTATACTGTCGCCCTGCCTATTTAACTTATATGCAGAGCACATCATGAGAAAGGCAGGGCTAGATGAATCAAAAGTTGGAATTAAGATTGCCGGGAGAAATATCAACAACCTAAGATATGCAGATGATACCACTCTAATGGCAGAAAGTGAAGAGGAACTAAAGAGTCTCTTGATGCGGGTGAAGAAGGAGAGTGCAAAAGTTGGCTTGAAACTCAACATTAAGAAAACCAAAATCATGGCATCCGACCCTCTCAATTCCTGACAAATATATGGGGAAGAAATGGAGGTAGTGACAGATTTTATCTTCCTGGGCTCCAGGATCACCACAGATGGGGACTGCAGCCAAGAAATTAAAAGACGCTTGCTCCTGGGGAGGAAAGCTATGGCAAATCTAGACAGCATACTAAAAAGCAGAGACATCACCCTGCCAACGAAAGTGCGTATAGTCAAGGCCATGGTTTTCCCAGCTGCAATGTATGGATGTGAAAGTTGGACCATAAGAAAGGCTGAGCGACAAAGAATTGAGGCCTTTGAACTATGGTGCTGGAGAAGACTCTTGCGAGTCCCCTGGACTGCAAGGCAATCAAACCGGTCAGTCCTAGAGGAGATCAACCCTGACTGCTCTTTAGAAAGCCAGATCCTGAAGTTGAAACTCAAATACTTTGGCCACCTAATGAGAAGGAAGGACTCACTGGAGAAGGGCCTAATGCTGGGAAAGATTGATGGCAATAGAAGAAGGGGATGACAGAGAATGAGGTGACTGGATGGAGTCACTGAAGCAGTAGGCGTGAGCTTAAATAGACTCCAGAAGATGGTAGAGGATAGGAAGACCTGGAGGAACATTGTCCATGGGGTTGCGATGGGTCAGACACGACTTCACAACTAACAACAACAACATGATGGTCCAGATTAAAATCAGCTGAAAAAAGAGGCAAAGGGCACAATGGTTTCTCCTTACTTTCTAATAATTCACACATAAGAAAGAGGGTATGACAAAAAATGATCTACCCCAGCATTTTGTTCTCACGCAGATCACACAGCCATCTTAGGGAAGTCAACAAGGGCATAAATGAAGAAGTTCACACTGACTTCTATTCCCCAGCAACTGAAGATGTTCCGGAGTTGCTTATTGCATAACACTAGAGAGAATTTCTTACGAGAACTTGCATTACACTAGAGCAGAGGTAGGCAACCTTGGCTCTTTTATGACTCGTGGACTTCAACTCCCAGAATTCCTGAGCCAGCCATGCCTATCCCTGCACTAGAGAAAGAAAAGTCAATCACCTTGTGGAATATTCCATCTTAAGGCAAATCTTAAATTTCTCTTTTTTTACAGCACCCGAGATGTTTACTGCTACAAAAACTGAAGGCTATTCCTATGCTGTTGATTGGTGGTCATTAGGAATTACAGCCTATGAACTCCTCAGAGGCCGGGTATGGTACGGATAATGTATATGTATTATTGGACCATCCATCCATTTACCTATCCATCTATTCATGATTTCACCATGTTTAGACTATTCAGGAACAATTACTTTCCAGATTTACATTCACTGTAAACAAGAGTCCACAACTGAGCCCAATATTTCTGTTGCTAAGTGAGACATTTGCTAAGTGAGTTTTGCCCCATTTTACAACCTTTCTTGCCACAGATGTTAATTTAAATCACTGCCGTTGTTAAGTTAATAACATGGCTGTTAAGAGAATCTGGCTTTCCCATTGACTTTGTATGTCAAAGTCGCAAAAAGGGATCACGTGACCCAGAACACTGCATCCGTCATAAATGTAAGTCAGCTGCCAAGCATCTGAATTTTGATCATGTGACCATGGGGATGCTGCAACAGTCATAAGTGTGGAAAATGGTCAGAAGTCACTTTTTTCGGTGCTGTTGTAACTTCGATCACTAAATGAACTGTTGTAAGTTGAGGACTACCTGTAGTAGAGTCATTAAAATTCTAAAGGGAAGCTGGCCTGCTTAAAGAAATTAATTTAGTGATAAATGTTAATGTCTGCTGTAAAGGTTATCATAAAAATATCATCGATTCAAAAACTATAAAGAACAAAATGGAACTATACTTCAAAAGACCTTTCATAATTATGGACCAAGGATGCAGTCTGAAGGAGTGGACTGCTGTGTGTGAATTAGTAACCCAACACATTTCATGCTGCAACATGCCTTATTGGCTTATTGGGTCATAACATATTTTCAAAGTTTGCAGCGGATTGTATAGAAGTCAGTAGGCATTTTATGAAATATTTGAGTAAAGTGGGAAATTTATTATAGTGGAAATATGCAAGTTCTCATTTGTTCTGTTCTTTAACTTAGAAATAATATGGCATCACATGTATAACTTCCTATTCAAGTGCATTTGTGCCAATTTTTAAAATTTATTTAGGCATATATGATCACATTAGACGTAATCCTGGAATGGGGGTAGGATTATTTTTTGGGAGCTGAGTATGCGGGACAATTCCAAGTTAATAATATGTTGCTTGTCTGATTATTGGAGGTAGTTAAAATTTCTAAAGCACAACACATTTGTTTTCTTTTGTTTTACGGTAATGTTTGTTTAAAGTACTAATCTGTTAATGCCAGTTACATCTTATGCAGAGGGAAAAAAACTAATTTCTTTTGTAATTACTTCTTAAATAGTTGTTTGATTTTCAAAATGAAACTGAATTATTACGATTCAATCAAAAGGTTGTATTTTTTTAAAAGGCCTTAAAAGCAAAAGGTTTTCTCAAATACATGGTGCCTTATATTTTCTGTATTCTTTGCTGCTGTTTTGTGTACACACAAAGCAAATTACACCAAAGTTAAGCATTACTGAATGTGTGCCTAGATTAATGGTTTTCAGATCTTCCTCTTTCTATCCTCTCCCCATTGTATCTGACCTGTTTTTCTTAATAGAATTCTACATTTATCAGGTTGTTTTCTGTAGCACATAACTAATATTAAATAGGTTCTGGATAAAGCTGTTACCTGAAATGCAAAATCTTGGTTACTATTAAAAAAAATGTTATTCAAAAGCTTGCATATTCCAAGGGTGCAAATTCCAACGTTGTCAGATGATTGAAGTGAGAAGCTATGCCCTGAACTGCTCCATAAAGAGACGATGCCAAACTCCACCTTGAGAATGTTGGGAATTGAAGTCGCTTATGATTCTGAAATAATAACATTTCCATTTTCCCCTACATGCCTATGGCACATTTTCTTTCATTATCACTCGTCATTCTGGTGTAATGGTAGTAGCAGACAGCAAATTGAGACTAGAATTTGACAGGGTTGCTTTTTACAAAAGATTTGGAGCTCAGGGGTGGCTAAAGGTTTTGCTTTTAATTCCTAAGGAAGGCATAAGCAAAGATACCAGGTGAGCTTGTAGCTCCCAATATTTGCACAAATTGTCACCATTTGTGCTGCTCTTTAGTACAATGCAAGAACAGGCTGGAAATGCTCTTCCGCTGTTTAATTTTCTTTTCAAAGTTGAACGGATTAGCCACACTACTGCAGGCATGCTGGGAAAATATGCTCCTTAATTTAACTGATTGCATTTATGTCCAGAGGATTTATTACAAAACATTTTGAGAGCGTATTTGAAACCATGTCAGTTTGACTTCTCTTTTGTCTTATTTCAAAAAGAGAATATATTTCAATTCAGAAAAAAAGAATACAGTTTTAAGTATTTCTAGGAATATTGAAAGAATTCACACCTATCACACACATGCCACTAAAGTGATTTTCCTTGAACTCAATTTGCATTGAGTGAAACACCAACTGGACAATCCTTGATCTTTTGCTGTTGCTTACATGCAGCTTTTTAAGTGTAACTTTTCTGTTGTCTTCCTCTCCTGTGTTGATCTGTTCACTTCAAAAAATTGCCCAGTGTCCACAATGCCTTAACTAAGAACATTAGTGGACACTAAGGAAGGAGGGGGGAGAGTAAAGTCCCTTGGAGAAGTTGTCAACCCATTACAATGCAATGAGACTTTCCCCCCCCCTCTAAAAAACTCCTTTAACCTAAAACAGAGAATTCATTACTCTGTTCTTGTTGGATGGGGGCTTTGTTTCAGTGTCCTTGCCTTCTTCTCTCCTTGCAGAGACCATACCACATTCGCTCGAGTAATTCTGCCAATGAAATTTTGCATGTGTATAAGACGGCCACCATCATGTATCCTGCTGCTTGGTCACAGGATATGATCTCATTGATTAAAAAGGTGAGTGAACCAGATGTTGGTTAAGATGCTCAGCCTTCCCAGCCTTTTGACTGAATGGGAGCTCATTCCACCAGGAATAGGACATTACTGGAGATACAGGGCTGCTGCTAGATATGGAAGCTATATGAGCCATTCTACCTTTTTCTTCCATGGAATGCATTTTAACACCTAAGTGGGTTGTTATTTTATACCATCACACAGTTCCATGCACCCACAGCACTTGATTGGCTCCGGTTTTAGGAATTCAGGAAAACCTAAACTACAAGATCCTTTTAGGAACATAGGAAACTCTTTTACTATACACTGCATTGGACATATAATAATAATAATAATAATAATAATAATAATAATAATAATAATAATAATAATAATAATAATAATAATAATAATAAAGTTGGAAGGGACCTTGGAGGTCATCGAGTCCAACCCCCTGCTCAGGCAGGAACCCTACACCATTTCAGACAAATGGCTGTCCAGTCTATTCTTAAAAACTTCCAGCGTTGGAGCATTCACCGCTTCTGGAGGCAGGTTGTTCCACTGGTTAATTGTTCTAACTGTCAGGAAGTTTCTCCTTAGTTCTAAGTTAGTTCTCTCCTTGATCAGTTTCCACCTGTTGCTTCTCGTCCTGCCTTCAGGCGCCTTGGAGAATAGCTTGACTCCCTCTTCTTTGTGGCAGCCCCTGAGATATTGGAACACTGCTATCATGTCCCCCCTCGTCCTTCTCTTCATTAAACTAGACATACCCAATTCCAGCAACCGTTCCTTATATGTTTTTCTTGCTTGATCCTCCTTCAGTTAGTTTATTTATCCAAATATTTCTGTCTGAAACAACAGTAACGGTTGTTGCAATCTTTTAAAGAGTTTAGAAGTGCTGTACAGGAGCTCAGAATTTGAGGAAAAGTCAGAGCAGGATATTCACAAACAACCTATGGGCTGCATGGAAAATCTTGAACAGTAAAAATTCATGGGCTGGAGATTCCCTATTATGTCTGAGATAGATAAAGAGGCATGTATCATCCTTTCCTGTATTCAGTCTGCAATTGTCTTCTATTCTGATGTTTTTTTTAATAAATTGCTTTCATTCTAATTTCTAGTTAGTGGAAATAAATTCAGAGGAAAGATTTTTTCAACTGAGTCATATCCAGGAGTTTCCTTACTTGGCTGATATCAATTGGGATGCTGTTTTACAGAAGACAGTATTGCCTGGATTTCTTCCTAATGTAAGAATTTTATTTTGAATGTTTTCTTAATTTTGAAACTAGAGTTATAATGATGCTGACACTCTGGCATGTTTCTTAATGTATAAAGCAATAAACTATCACGATGCATATGTCACACACCAACAGGGTAAAGTCCGAAGAGAAACATAAACTTCTTAAAACCCCAAATCAATAATTTAGGTTTAATCATTAAATTAAGATCAATCAAATGGCACAACAATTAGTTTATTTATTCATTCATGTATTTATAGCATTTCTAGGGCTGCCCAAAACTCAGCAACAAGTACCTCTCCCCTCCTCAAAGCAACACAATATATTAAAAACCATCTAAAACAATGAAATGACAAGAAGATTATACCGTGTTTCCCCGAAAATGAGACCCGGTCTTTTATTTTTTTTCTTGCCTCCAAAAGAGGCACCAGGTCTTATTTTTTTTGGGGGGGGGTATTGTTTTTTCCACTCACCTCCGGCATCAACAGCCCCACCCAGCCAGCCCACTTCTTCTGCAGCCGAAGGAGCAGCTTCTTTCTGCATTTCTCAGTCTTTCTAGAAGGCCACTGCAGCCGATAACCAAGCAGGCCGGGGGATGCTGCAAAAGAAATGGGCCAGCGAGGAGAGGCCTGGCTGCAAGGTAAGTGGTTGCGGGGCATGTGGGGCAGCTCCACCCCATCCACCCCCACCCTAGCTTGATTTTTAAGTGTGTGCCTTTCCCCAAAACTAGGGCTTATTTGTGGGATAGGGCTTATATTAGGCCTACCCCCCAAAATCAAGCTAGGACTTATTTCCGGGGTAGGTCTTACTTTTGTGGAAACACGGTAATATATAGCAACTCAGTCAATTGGGATTCCAGGCCTGCAGGAGCCAGGCATATATTTTGGGGGGGAGGAGAGTTGCCTTCAAGAAAACATGTTCTTGGGGTCCCACTAGATGGCTTGATGAGAGAACCTAAAGCAGTGATGGCGAAACTTTTAGAGACCGAGTGTCCAAAAACTGGCCCCACCCCTTGCCCTGCCCCTGCCCCGCCCTGCCCCCACCCCACCTGCCCGCAGGGCCCACCGCAGATCGCTCAGGCAGCCCAGCAGCACCATGGCGGCCACGCCCTCTGCCCGTGCCCCGCAGCATGAGGGCAGAGTCTTGTCTACACTGCCTGGCTGCCATGTCCTTGGCTGCTCTGCTCTGTGTGGGCCATGCTCAGGGGCGACTCTCCAGGGGGGCTGCTGGTGAGGAGGGGATCGCGGGGGAGGCGAGGCTGGGGCAATGGCATGTGTGTCCACAGAGAGAGCTTCAAGTGCCACCTCTGGCACGCATGCCATAGGTTCGCCACCACTGACCTAAAGTGTGCTTTCTTTACTGGAGCATGAGGGATTTTGTATTTGTGGAGTTAAAGGCTTTTATACTCTTATAATTATTGACCCTAGCTGTCCAATTCAAGCTCTCCTTTATATTAATCTATTTTGAAATTCCAGAGAGTCCTAATAGTTTTAATTGGGAAAACTGTTTTGGCTCGTGTCTATGGTATGATTGAAGAGCTTTGTCCATGCAAATGTCTTTCTTTTAGTTTAGTTTATTTGGGGGAAAGGGTAACAATTTCTCTCTGTGTCTGCCTTCCTCCCTAGAAAGGGAAGTTAAACTGTGACCCAACTTTTGAACTTGAGGAAATGATCCTGGAGTCCAAGCCACTTCATAAAAAGAAGAAGCGCTTGGCTAAGAAGGAGAAGGAAAGCAACAAAAATGAATCCTCAGAGGTGAGGTACAATAGAGTTGAATGGTTGAATTATCCAAAGGATGCTTTTGGCTGATGTGAGGGTGCCGGCATTTTAATATCTTCCAGTTTCATTAGGTATATTGATCTAAAAGACAGAAATCTCACATCTAAATCACACTGACTTTAATGGCAATGTCCCAAATGAATAGGACAGCAGCCAAAATGTGCAGTCTATAACCCTCTGTGCTTTCTCATTCTTGGCATTTAAATGATTAACTGGTGCTACAGTATATTTATAATATTTTTTAAAATATTAGAGCACCTTTTGAAACCTTTGCAAAATTGAGGAATGGCCATAGATATACCAGTTTTAGATTTTTTTTAAATACCAGATTTAGATTATTTTAAATTCTATGAGCAATACCTTACATTAAGATTGTGACAGCATAGAATAGAACAGAACAGAACAGAACAGAACAGAACAGAACAGAACAGAATAGAATAGAATAGAATTTTCTATTTTTTTAGCGACCTTTAGATTTGGTGAGGTGAATAGAAAGGAAAACCCTGGGGATAGTAGAAATAATAAGTGTACAGTGATGTTGGCAATTTTTTCTAGGTTTATTAGCTTTGCAGAGCGGGGCTGAAAACTGTAGCAAAGCAGGGAAAACACATCCTTTTTTGTGAAAAAGAAAGAAATCAAGAAATAGAACTTTCTTGTTTCAGATTTGTATCTCCTTTCTCCCCCTTTCTACCCCAATACTGGATGCCAACAAAGCCAGAAAGATTAGATATTAAGAAGGAGAGAAAGAATAGAATCAGTGCTCATAGATTTTGACTCTAGCTGCTTCCAAGAGATACTATCTTCATTATCACTGCTACTAAGTCAGTTATTTTCACAAAGCAAGATGTATTGAGGAAGGGCATTATCCTTAGTCTATTACTACTAGAGCCCTCTGTTCAGGTAAACCAAGATCTAGAGAAATCAGGTTGAATGCTAAAAATTGGATTGTGAACTACTGAGGAAAATAACCTAGAAATAATGCTTGATCAAATTTGATGCATTTGATCCAGGTTGGTAGACGAATTTAGTTTCTGTTAAGAGAGATGCACCACTGAATCAGCTAATAATTTAGTGTATGGATCAATTGTTTGAATTCCTGTGAAATGTCTTTCTTGATAAGTTTAGTGTCTTCTTGCATCAAATACTACAATGATGAATTCTCATTAACTGATCTTTTTTCTTTCTTAATATAAGGCCTGCCAGCTGCAGAAAAACCTGGAGTCAATACAAAGGGACTTCATGATTTTCAACAGAGAAAAGTAAGCACTGACCTGAAAATATAAACTTTAAGCTTAGCACATCAATAAGATTACTTAGAACTAAGGAAATCTGATTACTGTTCCTCAGATAATTAGGTAGTGATTTTGGCACAAAATCCATAGAAAAGCATTTGAAGCCTGGCATTGCTGTACACTCTCACTTGGCAGTTGCTCAAACTATTTCACTAAGGTAGGCAAGCCCACTGAATTTAAATTTTGAATATCTTTCTGACAAAAATATGAAATGGGTTTATTTTCCTTTTTTCTGCCTTGTTCTCCTTCCAGAAAGAAATTGTATCTGCTATAGTTAGATAGTAGAAATTGAGCAATAACAAAGACAGATTTTCAAACAGTAGCTATTTCCCCCAATATATAGGTAGTCCTTGACTTACAGCAGTTTGTTTAACCATTAAAAGTTACAACAGTGCCGATAGAATTAACGTACAACCAGTCCTCACACTTATGTCAGAGTCTCTGAGGTCACACAATCAACATTTGGATGCTTGGCAACTGGAACGTATTACAATGGTTGCAGCATCCCAGGGTCATATAATCACCACTTATGAATTTCCCAGGGGAACTTCTGACAAACAAAGTCAATGGGAGAAGTCAGATTTGCTTAATGCGATTTGCTTAACAACTAGGGTGAAAAAGGTCATAAAATTGGGCACAACTCATTTAATGCGTTACTTAGTGACAGAGGTTCTGGTTTCAATTTTGGTCATAAGTCGAGGTCTCCCATAATTCCATTTCTTGACTTTCTGAGACCATTCTTACAAACATAGCATAGCCAGCAATACATTGTGTGGTTATTGTTATTTTTAACCATTCCTGCTTTTTTATCCACTTTCCAGCATAGTGAATTTTTTATTGCATAATGTATGGAAGTTACAGTGTTATAGGTTGGATCTTTAAGTATTGATTGGTGGCTTAAGAAATTCAGTTAACAGAGATTTGTAACAAGCAATATGTTCTTGAAATGGATGGTATATAGCCTTTATAACTGGAATCATAACAAGCCTAATAAAAGGAGAACTGATTGTATCTTGGCTAATGCAGAAGTTTGGAATACTGGTTAAGATACCAGGCTAGAAACCAGGAGACTGTGAGTTGTAGTCCTGCCTTAGGCATAAAGCCAGCTTGGGAGTACTAGGAAGAAGGCACGGGCAAATCACTTCTGAAGTTTTGCCAAGAAACTGAAGGGACTGGTCCAGACTAACTCGAAGGCACCCCCCCCCCCCCAATGCAGATGGTAAGCTTTTGGGGAACTGCTGGACTTTATTGCTACCTGATCATGGACTTTGGTTTCTCTTATATACATTTTAGGGCACGACAAGAACATAACAAAATGCAGGAGAACTTGACGGTGACACAAACCAAAGACAACGAGGAAGAAGATGACCAAAATAATAATCTTTAAGATCAATGTAGTTTTCACTCAGGTGCTGCTACCGAAAGGGCAGGCTTTTACTTTAGCTCATGGAGCTTAGCAGATAAAATTGCACACTGCTTTCAAGATAAGGCAGATACCTTGCTAAGGAACCTTGAGGCTAGATGCTGGGTCTCTCTTCCCACCATAAGGACTTGTGGCCTACAATCTTGCAGAGCTACTTAAGGCCCAGATTGTCACCCTTTATGCCTGCTTATTTTTTAAGCCACTTGACCATTAACAGGAAAGAGTATGCTCTTTACTGTATAAAAGGCACTCCAAATAGGGAAAGGTTAAGTTCACTTTGTAGGTATAATTTTTATTGGTAAAATGTCAAGGTTGCTGATAATTGGGTTAAATCCAGTGCCTATGGGAAAGAGGTTTTTGCAGGTCTGCTAGAGGGGGCAGCACCACATTTTCTTAGAAGTTTTCAATAAAAAAATAAAAAAATAGAGCCGAATTGCAACTCTGCCTTAGACCGTAATAGACTTCAAAATGAAAAATCAATTTTTAAATACGTATAACTGACTATATCCAATATATCACAGACACAGAATAAGAGGAAATAATATTTTTGCTTTGGGAGTTTTCCACTTATTGGTACCTTTAAATAAAGTAGTTCTTAAGAATATAACCAATATATCTACAACTTGGTCTGTGTGTGCACTATGTGAACCAGGAAATGGAACAATGGGACATTCAAATCAAGATAAATTCATTAGGGCCATTTTATAAGTAGAATTCACTAGTATGTGCAAGGAGTAATTCCTTTTCTTGCAAGGGATAGATGGCAATCATTAAAAATATTTAAGTCTGCAACTATTATAAAGAAATATTAGCTGTGATGGTCATTTGGTAAAAGACCATTGATGGCTCTTAGGATCAATAGATGCTTGGTACAGTTAATGACAAACTATTAACTTTGTACTGTAAAGAACAGTTTATTATTATATGTAGTTGGGAAGAGACAGCAAAAATTCAGGTTGTTGGAAATTGGCTAGAAAAGAGTATATCAATGTTACAAGTACCCAAGGTTAAGCATAATTCTTTATGGGAACCAATTTTATGTTTGACCTAAGCTTGCTTTGCTTTATGATTCTAGTCCTCTTAGTCCTCCTTTCCATGTTCTTTCTTCCCCAGATACAACATTGGTAGACAAAAGACTGGCTAATGTAATGGATGTAGGAAATTACATTGACAATTATTGTACATAGTCAAGCTAAAATCTTTTCTAATCCTGTTTGTAGTTTGAATCGAAAAAGCACTGTGAGGTCACTTGCTATCTAGTGATTTTTGATTCTCTGTTGCATTCTCTGTACAAAATGTAAAAGCATTCTCAACCAATACAATCTCTTTGATTTCCAAAGAAAAATGAATGGATTATGTCCACCTGGTGTGCATTATCATTAAGAAGAAAACATGGATAGATTATGTGTCTACTGGGATAGGCCAGCAAGCAATTGGGTCAGTGGATGCTTTCTGCATTGTTTTAATCCTGGTCGTCTTTGAAAATTTCCTCTACAAAAAAATAGTTTATCTGAATGCAAAGGGTAGCAAAAGGTGATGGAAGACCTCTTTTCTCCAGATTGCTTAAAACAGGTAAATCTGCTGCCCTGCAAATGGGGGAAAAATGCACAGTTGTTCATTTAGGCTTATAATTTAATAAGCTCAATAACTAGATTCTTCCTGTATTGTAGCTTTTCTCATCCCATATAAACAGATAGCTAAGCAATGATCCTCAAGTTCTATCTTGCCACTATCATTCTGTCTGGCCTGCTGAACCAGACTGAAGGATCAGGGCATTGTTGATCACTTCAGATACTCTTTCTTTCCTTTTTTAAAAAAGGGTAGTTATTTTTAAAGAAGAATATCTGGCCTGGGACTTGGCCCCTTGCAGCTGAAATGGAACAAAATCTTAATGAAAAACAGTGGAGTTCCCACCATTAAGCAGCACAAAACGCACAAAACTTTAGTGCACATCCTAAAACATTTGTGGGGGGGGGACAGAAAATCTTGACCCTTCCTATATACATGTTGTGGTTCCATTGTATGGTTCACACAATTGTTCTGCCCATTGTGATCCCATGCCCTCCTTAAATGTAAAAGGCAATCTTCAGTCACTCAAAATTTGTCTATATTTCATCTGGGCCCTCTAACCCAGCTTTTGCCCAGTTTTTCAGCTATTTGTTACTTGGATTTAAATCTTAATGCAGTGTCAGCACTCTTAGAATCATGCGGTTGGAAGAGATCACAAGGATCATCTAATCCTACTATATAATATATAAAATTCATAGAATAGGTATACAAGTCAGCTATCTTGATTCTCATGCAGCTTCTAAAGATAAAATGCTACATTTTTTCTTAAATTCCCACCCAAATTAAGGCCATTCAGTTCCAGCAAGAATATTTTATCTAGGACAATGTTTAAAAAATAAGTAAGTGCTACAAAGCTACAAGCCCAATGTGGCCATTTTGGGGTACTGGGATTTGTAGTTCAGCAATTTTCTGATGGATCATTAGAGCAATCAGTCCAAAAGCCTGTATACCAGCAAAGTGCCTGAAAAAGACAAAGCATTAAATACAGTTAACCTCGTTTCTTTGGGTTTTTTTGCAAACCAGACAAGCCAGCAGACCAAGAAAGGAGAGAGGGTCAACCCTCCTGCCATTGTTCATTTAACTCCACTAGTAGCAGCAGGACAACTGAGGCAAAAACAACAATACATAGTCACATCTAAATGATAAACATCACATACCATTCTGTGGATTACAGACCAGTCCTCAAGATATTCTCCCTGTCGTTTTCATTTGGTAATATATTAGGGTAAATCTTGCCTCCAAACCTTTTTAGTGAAAAATGAAATAATGGCTAGGAATGTTTTTTTTCAATACATGAAGTAATGGTCACAATTCCAGTTGTGATATAGACAGATTTGGACCTAAACTGATATCTCAGAATGGTTTGATACTTGTTATAGGACAGCTGTTTCTAAATGCTCTTTAAATGTGTGAGACTTCGTCTCTGATCCTCCGCAGCCAGCACTGCTACTTAAACGTTTGCTAAACAGCACTATATTAACCCAGAAACTTTAGGGACTCTGTCAGTAGACTCTTTAGATTGAAAAGGATGTATTAATGGTTATTTGGGCATTTTAAGAGCATATAGGGAATACACCATTGCTACATGCAATTCTGATCTCATCATGACTAAATAATCTTCCCAGGAATAGAAAGCAAACTTAAGTAAATGTAATATTTATAAGAGTAAATTATAAATACCAATTAATGTTCTTTTGGTTCAATTAGGAAGGGTATCATTCTTTTCTTCTGATGGAAAGAGAACAGGGACACAAGCTTACATGTCTGTCAAAAATGTTATGTCTATAGTTAATTAAAACATGTTAAAGTAGCATTTCCCCTCTCTTCCATGTTATAAATTAAGTTGGTTAGCCTTTCTGTAAGGGCCTTTTATAGTGCACTAACTTTTTTCATTTTTTTAAAGCCTCAAAATAAAGTTGTATTAACTCTTAGATGCAGCTGTGTTCCATTGTATCCTATATTTTAAAATTTTGATTGATGGATAATAGATTTTTACAGGCATAAAAATCTAGCATTTCACTGAAAAAAGCTTTTTAAAACAATGATCCACTCCTATTCATCTGGTCGGTAATAGAGGGGTTGATGCAAATTGTGACTCCAAACCCAGAGAAATTTCCTCTCCCCACTGTTTTAGATCCTGTTTAGATGCCAAGTCACACTAGGATATGCTCAGATTGTCTGATTTTCAAAGATAGATGTAAACTGAAGACATAATAATAATAATAATAATAAATTTAATTTATATGCCGCCCTTCTCCCAGCGGGACTCAGGGCGGCGCACAACATATTTAAAACAAAACATAAATACATAAGTTATGACAGTGATTATCAGGATGGAAAATATATATATTTGAATGAACCACATCAGCAATGATTTAACCAACTCTTATGAGTACTTGAAGTAGCACAAAGGGAAAAATTCATAGAAAGGTAATTTTGACATTCTATCAATTTTGGAAAAAATAGTAATTTGAGGGTGTGGTTGAAAAAAGTTGGGATCTTAGACCAGGCAAAGCATATCAATTTATCGTGTGTCCTGTTTTCAACTCCGTGGCTTTCTTTTATATGGAAACATTTGTTATCCTTTCTTGTCATGTACAGACTGACAACTTCAAATTTATTGTCAGTAGTTTTATGTGCGAGAACTAGAGGATGTTTGCTTACTGCTTACTACTAGTTCTTCCTTTCTTTCCTGCCCCTCTAATAATGCAGAAAATGTGTAGCATTGTTAAAACATTCTTTCCAATCAACTGGTGGTTGTCATGAGGGTGGGAGAATGTGCATGTGATGCATTACTATTACTGCAGCAGTAAGCAGACAGTTGGGTTTTAGATTGTGGCGACTGTCAAGCCACGACATTAATGTCTAATTCATGCATCAGATGCCTATTTGATTAGAGGACTGAAGGCTACAACATATAAGGAACGGTTGCTGGAATTGGGTATGTCTAGTCTAATGAAGAGAAGGACNAGGGGGGACATGATAGCAGTGTTCCAATATCTCAGGGGCTGCCACAAAGAAGAGGGAGTCAAGCTATTCTCCAAAGCGCCTGAAGGCAGGACAAGAAGCAATGGATGGAAACTAATCAAGGAGAGAAGCAACCTAGAACTAAGGAGAAACTTCCTGACAGTTAGAACAATTAACCAGTGGAACAACCTGCCTCCAGAAGTTGTGAATGCTCCAACACTGGAAATTTTTAAGAATAGACTGGACAGCCATTTGTCTGAAATGGTATGGAGTGTCCTGCCTGAGCAGGGGGTTGGACTAGATGACCTCTAAGGTCCCTTCCAACTTTACTACTACTACTACTACTACTACTACTACTACTACTACTACTACTATTAATCATCGCACAGTCAGCCAGATGTTCAGACTGGATTTGGCATTTTTCTCTACCTATCGAGTCCTTACCAAGGATGTGGATGTTTGATGATATTACAGATATCGTCGCAGGATGGAAGCAGTTCCTACTACTACTACTACTACTACTACTACTATCATCATTATTATTATTATTATTATTATTATTATTATTATTATTGGAAAAACTCAACAGTTATCCAGCAGCCTGTTAACAGCTGCCAATATATTAGGTTAAGATTTCTGGTTCTGATTTTTTAAAATTCTTTTGACTTCAATTATAACTAAACATACAGCAATACAGATAGGGAAACATTATAAAACGTGCACAGAAGGTTTAGTCCAATCTTTTTGCTTGGGCAACAGAGAGAATATAACCAGTTACCTATCCATTGGATTCAAATTTCCTGCAGTCTTCCCAGACTTGTGAAGATGAACCCACCTAATAAGTGATATGGCAGGAAGGGATGGTAAAAATTGAAGGCTTTC